TACACATTTCATTCCTGCACTGTAATTAGACACGAAGGCTTCTCGTTATTCATTGAAAGAGAGCGTGACCTGCCTGCTTGCATTATGAACATATATTTAAAAGTGAAGATGGTTGTTTTATCCTGAAGTGAAAAGCTGCGTGTTTGTAATAAACAAATGAATCAATTATTAAGCCATTTTTTAACTTCAAAGCGTTGCTTCGAGTACATCGGGAATCCATAATTTTCTTTAATAATATTGTTTTCTCCAGTGAAAAAGTCATCTCGTCTGAATCAGGAGAGAAATAAGCACAGATCAAGCATCGTTTACAAGCAAAAGCGTCTGCTAAATGACTAAATGTAAATGTAAATGTTATTAGGGATTATGGGCTTGCATTTTGGCGAGACGCAATGGTTTAAATCTAACAGGTCTTGATGAACTTGTTTCTGAGAAACACACAGCTTTTGGCTTCACAAGACATTAATTGATGGACCGGAGTGGTGTGGATGGATTATTGTGATGTTTTTATCAGCTGTTTGGACTGTCATTCTGACGGCACCCATTCACTATTCACTTGGAAAAGGTGAACAAGTGATGCGATGCTAAATTTCCCCAAATCCATCTACATCTTGGGTGAGTACATTTTCAACCAATTTTCATTTCTGGGGGAGATATTCTTTTACATTTTTCTCCAGTGAAAAAGTCATCTCGTCTGAATCAGGAGAGAAATAAGCACAGATCAAGCATCGTTTACAAGCGAAAACAGTTCAATACCATTCTAAACAAATATGTGGGTGGACATTTCCACTGGAGGAAGCGTTATTATTACCTTTATTTGACCCTCTAACTCTAACACTTTCTATTCTATTTGAATTCTACTTTATCTATATTTATCTTCTTTTTTTATTTTTATTTATTTTTATTTAAAAAAAACAACAAAAAACACTAGCTTTCTATTTTTTCTATTCTATCTACTTGTTTTTCTTTGTGTGTGTGTGTGTGGCAATGGTTTAAATCTAACAGGTCTTGATGAACTTGTTTCTGAGAAACACACAGCTTTTGGCTTCACAAGACATTAATTGATGGACCGGAGTGGTGTGGATGGATTATTGTGATGTTTTTATCAGCTGTTTGGACTGTCATTCTGACGGCACCCATTCACTGCAGAGGTGGAAAAGTGATGAAATGCTACATTTATCCAAATCTGTTCCCATGAAGAAACAAACTCATTAAATGTACATTTTTGGGTGAAATATCTATTTTTTTTAAATACGCTAGCTAAATGCAAACACTTCCATGCACATGCAAGCAATATTTATTTAGTTTTGTGAATAAATGTGTATATTCAGTGATATGGCCACTGAATTAAAAATATGCATCTTAGCATATGCCAAGTTGCCAACAGCATTTTTTATTAGTTCAGGTCAAAGTTAGTTCCACATCAGCAAATATTTTGGCTTTGTTCATGATCTGGCAACATGAAATCATAAAAATGCCCCTGAGTATTCCTGTCTAATACTATGCACTGGAAGAAAAACTGATCACAGTTTAAGCAGAATTACAGAGAGCAAAGCATACAAAGAGCATACGAGAGTGAGCGATGGATAGATAAGAGCAGATAGATAAGAGCAGCCGACTGTGACATATGGAACTCTGAGAAAGAACTGAGGAAATGAAAGACGGAAAAGAGGAAAGGACAGAAAATACAGAGAGAGAGGTTTAAAATCAGATTGCATCTCAGCATTGACAAATCTTACAATATGTAAATGGAAAAGCAAAAGAAGAAGCTGTCAATGTCATTCCTACATGATCATGTATGTCTTAATATATAAAACATTTAAACCCTGGAAATCAAATTTGCTCTTTTATCACAATTATTCAATTAAGTGAACATAAGAGTGAATGTGAAAAAGATTTTGACTCTGATTTGAGCAGATGTTTTGTCATTTCCAATTTTTAAAATGAAAAACTCTCCATTGATTGTTTCATGTCAAGTCGAGTTACCTTTATTTTACCTACATGGCACCGAGGTCTTTTGTCAAACCATGTTTATCCAAGCGTTCCGCTTTTCAATTGCAATGATGTACTAGGTGCGCTACCGAGCAAGTTTACTACACTGAAAAAGCCATACCAATGGAGATGAATATGTGAAGCAATTTTTAAAATGCATTATTTTACAAATCATGCACTATATTAAAGTGTTTTAGTGAGTCTATTAATTGATTATTGCCCCATAATCATAATTTGCAATTAAAGGGGGGAAAAAAAGTTGTTGGTGTTTTACTGCCACAAGTGTTCATTTTAGGTAAAAACTGCAGTGAAACGTATAGGTATGTTTTTCCAACGAGCCTGGGTTGTTCAAACCTGTATGACTTTCTTTCTTCAGTGGAAGATACTTTGAAGAATGTTGAGGTTCAAACATCGGACCCATCTGACTTTAATTGTATAGACAAAAAATAGACCAAACAACAACAACAACAACAGACATTTCTCCAAATATTTTTTATGTTCCACAGAAAAAAAATAAGTCATACAGTTAAGAATTGAGTGCGAGTGAGAAAAGTTCATTTTTAAGTGAACTCTCTTTAAAATAAAACATATGCATATTTACTTTTTAAGCCCCCGAGTTTAAAAGGTCCCGCAGAACAAGAAATGTTCACTATTGTCAAAGACAGGAGACACGTGTCTTTGAATCACACTTAACTTCAGGAGCTGAATGGAGCAGAAAATATCAGACATGTGAAATGGCTGTAAAGATGGGCAAGGTTATTATGACTGATTCAGACAGAAAAAGACAGTGAGGGGTCAGACGGACAGACACTCACTGGACATGGCTTCAGCATCAGCATCATACATTATTCTGATGTGATGTAAATATTTTAGATATTAACTGACAAGGAGATCTCAGTCCTTTTTTATCTTAGAGGGCATTTACACAACACCATTTTCAACTAAAATTAAAAACGTATGCATTTTGGCCATTCATTTTCACGACAACAGCGTTTTGGGTGCCTAAAAACAAAAATTTCTGGAAACGGGTTTCAATGAGCAAGTTTTTGAAAATGTTACCGTAAACTACAAAAAACGCACATTTTGAAAATGGTGATGTCATGCCCATGCGTATAATAAGTATGTGCACAGCTGTTTAGTGTTTATTTACAAAATTACATCACCAACTACTGGCCTGGCATGCATAATATAGCGCTTTTAGTCATTTTTAGTCTTTCAATTCCACAAAAAGTCCTTTATAGTGGAAAAACGTTCTTTAGATTTTTTTAAATGTTCTTCACACTAACAAAATAACTGTTCTTTTAAGAACTGTTCACTGGGAAATCAAAATTATTCTACTACTATGGCATGGCTGCAAAAAGCCTGTTTTGGAACCTTTATTTTTAAGAGTGTATAGAGCTATAAAATGATCATTTAGTCTTGGAAGTGTTTAATGAGAAACATTTGAGTTTATGAAGTGAAGTGAAATGACGTGTGGCCAAGTATGGTGACCCATACTCGGAATTTGCTCTGCATTTAACCCATCCAAGTGCACACACACAGTAGTGCAGGGAGTAGTCGGGGGTTCGGTGCCTTGCTCAAGGGTCTCACCTCAGTCGTGATATTGAGGGTGGAGGGAGCGCTGGTCATTCACTCCCCCCACCTACAATCCCTGCCGGACCTGAGACTCGAACCCGCAACCTTCAGGTTACAAGTCCGACTCTCTAACCCAGGGGTGGGCAAACTTGGCCCTTTCAGGTCACTTTCCTTCAGAGTTTAGCGCCAACTCGAATCAAACACACCTGAACCAGTTAATCATTGTCTTCAAGACTATTAGAAAGCTACAGGCAGGTGAGTTTTATCAGGGTTGGCTCAAATCTCTGCAGGAAAGTGGCCTGGAAGGGCCAAGTTTGCCCATCACTGGTCTAACCATTAGGCTTATTACCATTAGATTCCCATGGGAGAACTGCCACATGCGGCTCTAAAGTCTGCTGTCTCCGAGGAACGGTGCAAATAAGGTAATGGGGACAAGCAATTTTCCTCAGTTTTCCGCAATTCATTCTGAAGGTGACCAGTCCATAATTGCTCAGAAACTTCTTAAAGCTAATTAGCTAAAGCTAATTCCCGAAATCTGGAGCGCAGCGGTCGGTGCTGAGAGCTCTTTATTGCTCAGTGAATATGGAACGGCAGGGAGGAACACTGCAGATCTGAGAGGAAGTAAATCAGGAACAGAGGGAAGATAGACGTCTTTAAACAGATTTTCCCATGTACAGTTTTTCGCGGTTCACATGAATGCAGCATGTGTGTCTATGTGATAAACAAATAAAAACATTGAAATGAATAATTTGTATATGAAATACATGGAGAAATATTAATTTATGGAAGGTTATTTATAAAAATATTTTTTAAGTAACTTTTTTGTATAGGGCTCGAAATCTGCAAAGGGTAAATGTAACAAATCATGTCAAAATGTATCTTTTTTTGGAAAATGAAACATTTTATCAAACTTTGATAATTGCCTTAATCTTTTAAACAACTCAAAAACTAGTGATCAAACTACATTTTATTAAAATAAATAAATAAATGACTGTCAATTTCAGTAATTTTGCTTAGTTCATTATACTTTTTTTACAAAAGTTTAAATTATTTAAATGAATAATTTGTATATGAAATACATGGAGAAATATTAATTTATGGAAGGTTATTTATAAAAATCTTTTTTAAGTAACTTTTTTGTATAGGGCTCGAAATCTGCAAAGGGTAAATGTAACAAATCATGTCAAAATGTATCTTTTTTTGGAAAATGAAACATTTTATCAAACTTTGATAATTGCCTTAATCTTTTAAACAACTCAAAAACTAGTGATCAAACTACATTTTATTAAAATAAATAAATAAATGACTGTCAATTTCAGTAATTTTGCTTAGTTCATTATACTTTTTTTACAAAAGTTTAAATTACATGTCCGTACATGCATGAAACTGAATCGGGGGACATAAAAAAAGAAACGAAAGGGCATTCATCAATAAAGATGCAGGGAAGCGTCCCTGTTCTTTCAGACGAAAACAAACCCCTGCTGCGTCTGTGGAAGATTCCCCGTCCGTTCTACAAAGTAAGAGCAAAGTGTGGATTTCAATGAGGCAGGAGGTGCGAGAGCAGGAGTGTGAGTCCAGTGGAGAGCAACTCATTCAAAGAGCTCAGATATCGACATGACTTAAAATACCTGCTCGGGCCACTCACTGAACTGATCTGCTCTAATGAACAGCGGATTATACCTGAAACGCTGTCAGAAAATCATCATTGATTTCTCATGTGCTTTCAGCTCCATGTCAATGCAGTAGTCACTCAGAAAAAAGTCAAACGCACACCTCTACTCAACAAGACACGTGATTAGAGTTACACAACTCCGTTTTAACGACAGTTGAGGCAACTGAGTCTAAATCTACAGAAGAACTGTGGCAACTTCTCAAAGAAGCTTAGAACATCTTGCATGCAAACGGTGTGCAAGTGTACCTAGGAAAAAAGCAATTTTAAAGTCTAAGATAAGAGTAATGCAATTGATTTTAAAAAATTGTTTTTCATGGATGTATACGTTACCTAGAGAGCCACATTTTATACTGAATTTTCTCCCAAGACAATAAGTACAACAAAACACATACATTATTCAAGAGATTTTGTACTTTTAAAATAAGGGTGCACCGATCAGGACTTTTGGAGCTGATTGTCGATTACAGGAAGCAGTATATGCCGATACTATCACCAATACTGATCTTTTCGAAGTCATCTTTTATCATAAGTGATATAGGCTAATTGATATAATCATCTCACATAAATGTTTTATCATGCAGTGCATTTTTGTTTTTACAATGGGGCAATTGTTGCACAATAGCTTACACACAGCGAAAGCCTGATTTGGTGAGCTGTCTGTGAGGCGGCCTTGTGTGTGTGCGCTTTGAGTGTGCATGAGCGCACCGTCTCTAGGAGAGCGTATGAGTGCTGAATGGTTTAAACACTGGCAAGACTTAAAAAGAAATGCAAATTATAAACTTTAGTGACGATGCGACACTGCCTCGATTGTGCAAGTAACATTTCCTGTGTCAACTGTGTAGTGTGCAGCTCGCTTATAGTGCAGACGCGATGTGTGGTGATTTGAAGCCATTTGCACATTTTGAGAGGGAAAGAGAGAGAGAAAGCTGTGATTCACTCACACTGTTTGTGAAATGGCACCTCACAGAAAGTTTTCAAATGACTTTGTAAGTTATTTCAATAAAGAAAGATGAATTGTGCCTCACCTTCAGCATTATATTTATTTTACCTATGCACAGGCAGACAGAGATTGAGATGGTGCTGCTGGATGTCATGCCAAACCTCTCACTGCAGGCGCGTCGTCAGCTTCAGATCAGTTTATGAGATCAGCCTTTATATAGAGACCACCGATCAGACTTCCCAAAGCCATTATCGTCCGATAGCGATAGGTAGTCGATCAATGGGAGCACCCCTATTTTAAAATAAGTTATATGATTAACATCAAACGTTCAACAAAATGTTGTAAAACCTGTCTCACTTCCTATTCCATTTAAATGGAAAAAAAAATGTACTCACATTATTCACAGGGCAGCTGAAAATGCTGGCATGAATCTCACTAATTAAGCACCCAACACCTACACTTAAGCCAGAGTGAAAGAGATGCGTCATGGGAAATTAACTCTACATTGTGGCATAAGAGCACATAATTGGCAAAAATGAAGTTCACCTGAGGATTACAGCATGAGTATTAGTGTCATCCTTTATGAGTTGACTCGCTGCTTCCTTCTGGAGAAAATACAAACATTCTGAATGATTAAAATAGAAAATAAGATTATTATTGCAGCCGGGTGGTTAGTTAGCCAGGGCTCATAAAATATGAAATATGACATTCATACCCTGAAGAAAAGAACCTGAGATTGTGGTTTGTCCATCATAGATCCAAAATCCTATGTTTTGTCTTGTCTAACTGGCCTCCATTGGTCTGTCTGCTCTGAAGGACAATTTAATGAATTTGTTCCTGGTATCCTTATAGGACATGACCATTTGACCAATTTATTTTGATTTTAGACTATAGCAGGGGTGTCAAACTCAATTCCTGGAGGGCCGGAGCCCTGCAGAGTTTTGTTCCAACCCTGCTCCAACACACATAAATGTAGTTTTCAAATAAACCTGAAAGACTTGATTAGCTGGATCAGGTGTGTTTAATTAGGGCTGAATATAAACTCTGCAGGGCTCCGGCCCTCCAGGAATTGAGTTTGACACCATTGGACTATAGCAAATACAATGCTGACATTTCCAGGTAATTGGGTTAAAAAAATCTGCAAGGGGTTTCAATTGTGGAATTATATTAAATTAAGCTTCCATACACTTTTTGAGAATCGTTCCTTGTCCCTGAACTTAATAAATATTCTCAACTCGGCAGAACAGCTGAGTTTGCGGTTTGGGAATGAATTGAGTTTCTTTGTAAGCGGAGACATTTGAATTTGTTTTCTGATGTGGTAAAGGGAGCTTCAAATGAGATTTTCTCAAAGGCACAACATTGACTATTGCTTTAATTTTTAATATTTTCTAAGGTATTGCTCATACTGAAGGTTTGTGATCTGAACAAACCCCCAAATATTAGACTTCAGCCCATTTGACATGCAAATGTGAAAAACGTCAACATTTCTAAATCAAAGAACTAAATATGTACACCACTGCCATTGGTTGTTGCTGCAACGCATCACTGCTCAAGTCAACAATGACTTCAACAATTTACAATAATGTCCCTCTCTCCATGTCGCTGTCAGTTAAGGTTATGAAAAATCAAGAACTGACAAACTGGTTCCCCATCGGTTCATGAATTTGAATTGAATTGGAATGACAGGAAGAGGAATTTACTGAATTGCAATATACTGTAGTGTCTTAGTGCCTGTCCACGTCTTCTATTGATTTTCCACATAGGGATTTAAAAATACTTTTTGTTAAAGCGTTATAAGCCTTGAACCAAGCCAGCCAGCTATGAGGAGAATCCCAATATTACAAACTTTGATTTCAAGCAAAAACGTACGCAAAAAGGTACATGTATTATTCGTCCTGAACGGTCACGGTACGGATGTCACGGTTCGGTTCATGCAGTCAGACAACGAATACAGTCACAGGTGATCGATCCAGAAGGGGCATAAGCGGTAATGCAATGCTATCCACCACAACAGGAAAGAGCAGCAGAAGAGATAGCCTCAGCCTCAGACGTCACGCCCACGGACCGTTGGCTAAATGTCTGAAGCATATGGGACACAAAAGTGGAAACACTTCAGGAGTGTCGAAGTCGTCATCGGATTGGTTGAATTCTACAGGATTTCCGGGAGACGTGTGTGTTGCGTTCTTTAAACGTTCCATCTGGAAACAAAGATGCCGTGATGAAAGAAGAAAGCCGTAATGTTTACAACTGTGACGACGAGCGCTTATCAGGATCAACTAAACGTCGGAGTTTCAAAAGTATGTGAAATATTTAAAGTTCGCAGCACAGAATCTTTAAAATACATCCGAGAGTTTTACACATCGGTCTGTTATTGTGGCGACATTTTTACGCCCCGAAACGTGACGCTGAACGAAACGAACTGTGATTGGTTGTCGGTCTGTTATTGTGGCGACATTTTTGCGCCCCGAAACGTGACGCTGAACGAAACGAACTGTGATTGGTTGATTGACATGTCGGTCAAACGGCCTCATGGGCGGGCCTTGGCCAATGAAATCTGCCATGGATTCCAGACCTTCAGCCGTCAGTGTGAAGGTCTGGCTACGCGAGACTACAGAAGAGACGTTCTCTTGTCTATTTTTGCTCCAAACACACAATTGACAACCGGGTGGTTTTTAGTTTTATTTTAGCCGATCTCTTTTCCGGATTTGCACACAAACTGGGCCAATGAAATCTGCCATGGAGTCCAGACCTTCAGCCGTCAGTGTGAAGGTCTGGCTACGCGAGACTACAGAAGAGACGTCCTCTTGTCTATTTTTGCTCCAAACACACAATTGACAACCGGGTGGTTTTTAGTTTTATTTTAGCCGATCTCTTTTCCGGATTTGCACACAAACTGCATTGCAATCATTTCCCAAAATGTCTTCCCAAAAATATTATAAAGTCTGTAAATGGGACGTTAACAGAGGCCAGAGATGCTGAAGACGGACACAAAGAGGAGAAAATACTGTAGTAGGCAGAGCAAACTCACAGTTCATGATGCAAAAAATATAGGAAGACAAATATAAATATTGAATTGGGGCTGGGGGGTTATATGAATGTATCTCTGAAAGGAACTGACTGTTCGCTGCTGTTCCATACGTGCCACCTGCTGTCAGAGAGTGAATTTGCATCTTATTCAGCCCGTCTGCTGTTTTTGTTTTGTGCAGGCGTCTTATGTAGCATAATTTCACAAATCTCAAGTCAGACCATTCTATTTTTGCTTTAAATCTTCAAATTATACAATCTAATTCAAATAATAATAAAAAACTGCTCATGCATGTAGCATCTTTGTTTGGCAAGTCAGACCATTCTATTTTTGCTTTAAATCTTCAAATTATACAATCTAATTAAAATAATAATAAAAAACTGCTCATGCATGTAGCATCTTTGTTTGGATACACTAAGGGGGCTGTACTGTATCAACTACCTCAGGTGGGACTAAATGTATCAAGTTGGAACAAACTGTAATATGCACTACTGTCTGTTCAAAGTAAAAAAAAAAAAAAAACTAGCATTGTGGATTTGTTGATTTTTCCTGTTGTACCCAAATCGCATCGAACCGTGACCCCAAAACCGAGGTATGTATCGTACCGTGACTTCTGTGTACTATTACACCCCTACTATCTATCTATCTATCTATCTATCTATCTATCTATCTATCTATCTATCAGTCTTGAAAATTTTCTAATTCAAAATTTCAAGGTTTCTTTGAATTTTTGAATATTATTTCTTGCAAGGTATCTTGTTTGCAGCCTCAATTCCAACTCAGTTTAAATGTAGGCACTCTCAATTCATTAATTTCTTAATGGCACACAACCCTGCTGTTGAAGTTTCACTAATAAACCTCGCCTCGATACTGAATCCCCACCCTACAGAACGCCTGCAAGCCAGACAGTTTCTAGAACATCCCGTCCTCTCCGCAGATGTCAAGAGGGCCGCTGTCCACGTCAAGGCCATCATCGGTTAATGGGCCGTAAGCTTGTTGTTTTGGGACAGAACATGTTGAGCTCTTCATCCCAGCGGTGGCAAAACTGGCATATTGTGTCTGTAATGGAGCTTGAAACGTGTGCCGCTGAGACATTTGCTGATCTCGTGGACAGGACTTACAGTCTCCTCTGGCATCAGTACACTCAGATTTTACTGGCCTGATTCTAACGTGACCCTCCACGTGTGGCTTTTTAAAGCTGCCCTTGCTCTTTTGGCAACTGACAGTAAAACCACCTCCAACTAACCACTTTAAATATGTACCTTGGGCAACACGTGAATATTCAGCCGAGCGAAACACCTCCGTTGTATCAGCTCCCGCGGCTTGAAGGGTGCCTGACATTTCTCACCTTCAATCATCAGTTTTCTAACCGCTTTAAGCTTTCTGCATAATTACATGTGATAATGCATGTGGAGCTTTGAAAAGAAGGAAATTGGGTTCATTGTTGCTGGCGTCAACTGTCATAAAGAATTACACCTCAGTGTGAACAATTTAAATCCACGTTACGGCATGATAAATTCATAATTGAGCACAAAGTACTAAATAATCAGACATAAAGTTTCACTTTGGAAACTCAAGAGAATATTAAACATGAAATGAATCAAATAGACGGATAATGCATCCTGTACCTTCTGAATACTGATTATAACAGGATGATATATATGACAGTTTGTGAATTTATAAGTGTGCTTACTAGAGAAACTAAAACATTTTCTACTATTTGATAGGTTTTGCCAGGTAGAATGGATAGCAAAAATAAAGCAGACATAACAAATTAACAAAGTCATATCATGCTAATGCACACTGCATAATTTGCAATGGTTAAATTGGCTCTAAACTCCAAAACTGCATTTGGACAAATCTAGTTTAAACTCAACATGAAATCAATATTGATCTTAATCTAGTTTATTAATTTTATTTGGATTGATTTATAAACGTTCATCAAAACATCCCATCCTACATTTGTTCTCAATAAATAAATTCCTCTCACATTGACAGTTTAAGAAGAGGAATGAAACTGAATTCGTCAAACCGTGATGAGCAGCTATTATTATCAAACTGATCTCAAGGATGGAAGGATTCAAAATGACCCAAACCAACTAACATCACAAAACATCAGCAAGCAAAAGTCCCATTAGAATCCATTGCTAATACTTACAGATGTTTGTGCTGTTGTTTTCCCTCCAAAATTATGTCACTTTCAGGAAGATGATGCCATTGTGGAACTGGCCTTAGGACACAGGGGGGAAAAAACTATTATACAGTATTCAAAAAATTTTTTTTTGAAGTATCTTATACTCACCAATGGTGCATTTATTTAATAAATAACACAGTAAAAACAGTAATATTGTGAAGAAAATATTACAATTTAAAATAACTGTGTTCTGTTGTAATATATTATAAAATGTAATTTATTTCAGCATCATTAATCCAGTCTTCAGTGTCACATGATCCTTCAGAAATCATTCTAATATACTGATTTGCTGCTCAAGAAACATTTCTGATTATTATCAATGTTGAAAACAGTTGTGCTGCTTAATATTATTGTGATAACCATGATACTTTTTTCAGGACTCTTTG